ACTAATACTACTACGTAGTACGTATACTACGTATATATATATATATATATATATATATATATATATATATATATATATTATATATATATATATGACGTGTGGAATCTGTATGTAGGCATATATATATATATATGTGTGTGTGTGTGTGTGTGTGTGTAATCTTGTCCTTCCAAATACAAGCCAGCAAGTAAATATATACAAGTGTAGATACATCACAAAACTTCACCACGATCATATAAAACTTCACCACGATCATAATGCTTTCTGTTACTAGGCTGGTGTGATAGAAAGTTCTGTACTGTTCAATGGCACATCGCACCCACACACTCGCACGTGTGGATATATTCTGTGGACTGTTATAGTGCAAATGTACTCAGCTGCTGTCAATCACTTCAATGCTTAGCGAATCTACCTACACGAACATCCTCGACTGGGTTTCAGCGTTTAAGGTTTCAGGGTTTAGCTGCTGGCTACTCTATACAGTCACAACCAACTAACTGCCCCCGGGGTCAAGCGTGTCTTGTATATGTCTGGGGCAGTTGTCAGTGTTGGATTGATCACAGATACATAGATTCGAGCGTATGTGAAGCATATGGCTTGGCCGCAGAGGTGGCTCTGTGGATGGAAACCTGGTTTATTGAAAAACCTCGTTTGTCTATCTTGGGACACCGAAATCCATTTGTGAGAAAAGCAATATGTCCACACTTTGTGATATGAACTGGGACTAGCAAAAATAAGAACTACAGGCCTGTGCTAGCTATCTAAACCCCCCAAAACCCCTAGAACCCTAAAACCCTAAAACCTAGTTTATACCTTCGACGGTTAAACTCCCAACTGATTCTATTGCCACAACCTCAACTGCCACACACCCTGGCGAACCCCAAAGCCCCGTTCATCCCACACCGATTCCTCTAAACCTTACAACCCTAAACCCCTAAAACCTTATAACCCTAAAACCTTTATACACACACCGCCTACTGCCCCTGCCCCTGCAGCTGTGGGACTGGTTGGACCCGAGCAATGGACTCAAATACGAACAATCCGTTGAGCTGGTCAATGCCTTCCTAGCCCTACACACACACGTCCACACAGACATGTGCGAGCGCAGCATCTGTGCCGATCTCAGTCACAGCCACGCGCACGTGCGCAGCAGAGCAGCCAGCCGATTCTCGTCCATGTGGAGTGTCAGTGAAGGGCTGGCCAATAAGAACGGGCGAGTGGGTCTCAGGAGAGCCACGCTGTGCATGCTGGACTTAATCAACGACGAAGTAGGTAGTATATATATGCGCATATATGTATGTATATATATATATATATGTAAAGGCCTGGCTCATAAAAACGGTCAATAATGGCCCCGTTTTCACTATTCAAATACAATTATAGAGCACGGAAACTGCATTCAGCCACCTTTGCCCTAAAAAAAAGTGTCCTGTCCACAATGCTAATGCACTAATACGACACCCATGCACCTGCGCCCCCGATTTTAGGACCTGTCCACCCAATTAGAGGCCCGTTCGTGGCTGTCGTGTGCGTTGGGTACCATGGCTTCGCTACTGGACCCGTTGCTGGAGATTCTGCTGCACCCAACTACACACAGAAGGTCCGCAGGACAACTCACAGGCGCACAGAGACAGGTCACACTGATCTACAGGTGAGGATGCATCTATACAGATGTGCATGTAGGTGGGTTGATAAAGGGGGGTGTACAT